GCTCACCGCAACCTCTGCCTCCTGGGTTCAGGCAATTCTCCTGCCTCCGCCTCCTGAGTAGCTGGGATTACAGGCATGCGCCACCATGCCCAGCTAATGTTTTGTATTTTTAGTACAGACGGGGTTTCACCATGTTGACCAGGATGGTCTTGATCTCTTGACCTTGTGATCCACCCGCCTCGGCCTCCCAAAGTGCTGGGATTACAGGCTTGAGCCACCGCGCCCGGCCTGCAGTTAATTTTTGTATAAGGTGAAAGGAAGGGGTCCAGTTTCAGCTTTCTGCATGTGGCTGGCCAGTTTTCCCAACACCATTTATTAAACAGGGAATCCTTTCCCCATTGCTTGTTTTTGTCAGGTTTGTCAAAGATCAGATGGTTATAGATATGCGGCCTTAATTCCGAGGCCTCTGTTCTGTTCCATTGGTCTATAATTCTGTTTTGGTACCAGTACCATGCTGTTTTGATTACTGTAGCCTTGTAGTATAGTTTGAAGTCAGGTAGCATGATGCCTCCAACTTTGTTCTTTTTGCTTAGGATTGTGTTGGCTATACAGTCTGTCTTTTGGTTCCATATGGAGTTTAAGGTGTTTTTTTCCAGTTCTGTGATGAAGGTCAATGGCAGCTTGATAGGGATAGCATTGAATCTATAAATTACTTTGGGCAGTATGGCCATTTTCACAATATCGATTCTTCCTAACCATGGGCATGGAATGCTTTTCCATCTGTTTGTGTTCTCTCTTATTTCCTTGAGCAGTGGTTTGTAGTTCTCTTTGAAGAGGTCCTTTACATCATTTGTTAGTTGTATTCCTAGGTATTTTATTCTCTTTGTAGCAATTGTGAATGGGAGTTCAGTCATGATTTGGCTCTCCGTTTGTCTGTTATTGGTGCATAGGAATGCTTGTGATTTTTGCACATTGATTTTGTATCCTGAGACTTTGCTGAAGTTGCTTATCACCTAAAGGAGATTTTGGGCTGAGATGATGGGGTCTTCTAAATATACAATCATCTGCAAATAGAGACATCTGTAAATAGAGACAATTTGACTTCCTCTTTTCCTAATTGAATTCCTTTATTTCTTTTTCTTGCCTGATTGTTCTGGCTAGAACTTCCAATACTATGTTGAATAGGAAGGGTGAGAGAGGGCACCCTTGTCTAGTGCCAGTTTTCAAAGGGAATGCTTCCAGTTTTTGCCCATTCAGTATGCTATTTGCTGTGGGTTTGTCATAAATTGCTTTTATTATTTTGAGATATGTTCCATCGATACCTAGTTTATTGAGAGTTTTTAGCACAAAGGGCTTTTGAATTTTGTTGAAGGCCTTCTCTGCATTTATTGAGATAATCATGGGGTTTTTGTCTTTGGTTCTGTTTATGTGATGGATTACATTTATAGATTTGCGTGTGTTGAACCAGCCTTGCATCCCCAGAATAAAGTCTATTTGATCATGATGGATAAGCTTTTTGATGTGCTGTTGCATTCAGTTTGCTAGTATTTTATTGAAGATTTTTGCATCGACGTTCATTATGGATATTGGCCTGAAGTTTTCTTTTTTAGTTGTGTCTCTGCCAGGTTTTGGTATCAGGATGATGTTGGGAAACCAACTCTTTGATAATGTCAGGATACTGGCTTGTTCTGGAACAGTTTAAGTTGGTAAGAAAAAAAGTGCTTTGAAAAGAAACAAAAATTTTTTTTAAAGTAAGAAAATGCTTTAGGTGTGGCTAGGGTTCACGTGTGTCTTGGTTTGTTCCTGCCAAAATATACATTATTTTAATAATATCAACATATTTTGATTGGCAACTATTTTATTTTTTAGCGTTTCCCTATCTGAAGCCCATGCACGACTGAACTTAAGGAACGAAGTGCGTAAAGAAGATGTGCTGATTGCAGCCTTGCTATTTGAAACATCCCTCACATTGAAATATGGTAATGGATTAAATTATTAATGATCACTACAAATAACTTTATTTAAACTTAAATATTCTTAGTTAAAATGTTACGTATATTTTTAAAATATTATTTTAAAGAATAATAAATCTCCACCAGGTAAGGCCTGTTTTAATTTGGACATTTATTAACTGTTTCTGGATAGTGTCATCATCTGATATTAAATTCCTTATTATGCATGATTGTCGCCATATTTAAACTTCTGCATTGCTTAAAGAATTTTGGGGGACTCCCCGGCGCCGCTTGTGGGGGGGCCCAAGACCTTCTGATCAAGGCCCAGCCCGTGTATGGCGTGAGGCCGGTAGAGGCCCCCGGCGAGCCGGGTCTTCCCGGAGTCGGGTTGCTTGGGAATGCAGCCCAAAGTGGGTGGTAAACTCCATCTAAGGCTAAATACCGGCACAAGGCCAATAGTCAACAAGTACCGTAAGGGAAAGTTGAAAAGAACTTTGAAGAGAGAGTTCAAGAGGGCATGAAACCGTTAAGAGGGTCTCCCTCTGTTTCACCACGGTCACCAGGCCGGTCTCGAACTCCCGACCTCGTGATCCGCCCTGACCTCATGATCACGGCGTGGACCACCCCTCCCTGGACTCAGGTGATCTCCGCCTCCAAGTAGATGAGACTACAGGGTTTTCGTAAGCCCGGGAGGTGGAGGTGGGGTCGGCTGACAGCTCAAGATGATCTCAACCTTTTGCGCTCCAGCCATCCTCCCACGTTGACCTTTCAGACTGCTGCGATGACAGGCGTGAACGCTGAACTGGCCTGGTCGTATTTGTCTTGTGCGTTTCTTTCCAGTCCTTGTTTCCGGTCTGGATGCGTAGTTAATATAGTACGGGCATTGCAACCAAAGACAATTTTCACACACATCTTACGATCCTGCCTTTTCTTTCCAGTGCCACAAGCCCCATCGAGGGTGGCGTGCCTGATCTCTGATGGTTTTATATAGTGTAGAAAGCGTTGGCACTGGCCGCGTGCACCTTTTTTTTTCTTTTTTGACGGAGTCTCTCTCTCTGTTGCCCAGGCGCAACCCCCGCCTTCTGGGTTCAAGCGATTGATTCTCCTGCCTCAGCCTCCACAGTAGCTGGGACTACAGGCGCCTGACACCACGCCTGGCTAATTTTCCTATATTTAGTAGAGACGGGGTTTCACCACGTGGACTACGATGGTCTTCACCTCTTGACCTCATGATCCTTCCACCTCGGCCTCCCGAGGCTTTGGCGGTGGGATTTCCATGGGACAGGCATGCATGCATGTGTGCGTGCGAACTGACAGGGCTTTCCAGATCCATGTCCTGGCAGATGTCTCTGGTTCGGCGTCTCCCATAGGCTGCCTGACTTTTATTATTATTATTATTATTTTCTCTTTTAAGCTGGGCTCGCCTTCCCACCCATGTTGCTCAGTTGCTCAGGCTGGCCTCGAACTTATGGCCGATTTCAACTTTAGTATTATTATTGTTGTTGTTGTTGTTGTTCCTATTATATTCGCGAGGTATGTGGGGAAGCTACTGCTACTTAGCTGTGTAGGAAACTCTGTTCTTAGGACAAATTTTCATACTCCGGGAAAATTTCCCCTTCAAACGAGCATCTCTTGAAAGATGGAAACGATTCAAAAAATAAAGAGAAAGACACACACACACACAAAAAAAAGAATTTTGGGGGAAAAAGTACTTAATACAACACATAAAATGATTTTAATTTATTTTCCTTTTTAAAATAACATGCAACATTTAGGTATCAAACAATCCCCCATAGTGGAGTTAGGCAAGATGGCAAAAGAAAATCTGATCATTGGCCAGGCGCAGTAGCTCATGCCTGTAATCTCAGCACTTTGGGAGGCCGAGGTGGGCAGATCACAAGGTCAGGAGATCCAGACCAATCTGGCCAACATGGTGAAAACCCATCTCTACTAAAAATACAAAAATTACCCAGGCGTGGTGGCCTGTGCCTGTAGTCCCAGCTACTCATGAGGCTGAGGCAGGAGAATCGCTTGAACCTGGGACGCAGAGGTTGCAGTGAGCTGAGATCATACCACCGCACTCCATCCTGGGCAACAGAGTGAGACTCTGTCAAAAAAGAAGGAAGGAAGGAAGGAAGGAAACCTGATCATCTTGTATCAATGCCTTCACTGAATAGCTAGTTTTAATACTATGTCTATAGCATTTGATTTTTTGAAATGAATGGCACTTGTTATGCTTTTGCTAATAAACATACGAAAGGTAAGAGTAAGGAGAATTATTCTCCCAAAGTTCTTAGTTGAATTAGATAAGACACTAATTTTTTTCTTTTTTTTGAGACAGCATCTCACGCTGTTGCCCAGGCTGTAGTGCAGTGGTGTGATCTCGGCTCACTGCAATCTCCGCCTCCTGGGTTCAAGTAATTCTCCTGCCTCAGCCTCCTGAGTAGCTGGGACTACAGGCGCCCACCACCATGCCCAGCTAATTTTTTTCTCTTTTTAGTAACAACGGGGTTTCACCATGTTGGCCAGGCTGGTCTTGATCTCCTGACCTCGTGATCCCCCTGCCTCAGCCTCCCAAAGTGCTGGTATTACAGGTGTGAGCCATCGCGCCTGGTCGAGATATTAATTTTGATTAGCAATACCATTCTTCACACCAAACCTTGGTTCCGACCCTGGGACTTAAAGAATGAATTAACACTAGCTTTTCTATATGTATGTGTTGGTGAATACATTTGCTTTAAATTACATTTATATTGTAATACCGGTTTGCAAAGATCCATTAGAACATTAGAACTTTGTTCTATAATTGTCTAAAGCTCTATAAATTTTTCTATAATTGTCTTTGTTCTATAATGTCAAGCATTCTTAACCTAGGATCCATAGATGCTTGATATAGGGGCTTGTAAATGCCTAAATTATATACAAATGTATATATATGTATGCCTTATACATTTTTTCCTAGGATCATGTTTTTCATTTCAATTTGTTTTATTTTATTTCTTTTCTTTTCTTTTCTTTTTTTTTTTTTTTTTTTTTTTGAGACAGAGTCTCACTCTCTTGCCCAGGCTGGAGCGTAGTGGCACAATCTCAGCTCACTGCAACCCCTGCCTCCTGGGTGCAAGCAATTCTCCCACCTCAGCCTCCCGAATAGCTGGGATTACAGGCGTCTGCCACCACACCCAGTTAATTTTTTGTATTTTTTTTAATAGAAACGGGGTTTTACCATGTTGTCCAGGCTGGCTGTAACTCCTCCTCGGCCTCCCAAAATGCTGGGATTACAGGCATGAGCCACCGCATCCGGCCTTTTTTAAAAATTAGCATTTCTTTTTAAAATGTTATTATTATTATTATTATTGAGACAGGGTTTTGCTCTAGTTGCTCAGGCTGGAGTGCAATGGTGCCATCTCAGCTCACTGCAACCCCCACCACCCAGGTTCAAGTGATTCTCCTGCCTTAGCCTCCCAAGTAGCTGAGATTACAGGCATGCACCACCACACCTTGCTAATTTTGTATTTTTAGTAGAGCCAGGGTTTCTTCATGTTGGTCAGGCTGGTCTCAAACTCCCAATCTCAGGTAATCTGTCCGCCTCAACCTCCCAAAGTGCTGGGATTGCAGCGTGAGCCACTGCACCTGGCCTCTTTTTTTTTTTTTTAAACTTAAAGTTCTGGGGCACATGTACAGAGCGTGCAGATTTGTTACATAGTTATACATGTGTCATGGCAGTGTGCTGCACCCATCAACCTGTCATCTAGGTTTTAAGCCCCTCATGGTATTTGTCTTAATGCCCTCTTTCCCTGTGTTCCCCACATCCTGACAGGCTCTGGAGTGTGATGTTCCCCTCCCTGTATCCATGTGTTCTCATTGTTCAGCTGCCACTTATGAGTGAAAACATGTGGTGTTTGGTTTTATGTTCCTGTGTTAGTTGGCTGAGGATGATGGTTTTCAGCTTCATCCATGTCACCGCAAAGGACATGCACTCATTCTTTTTCATGGCTGCATAGTATTCAATGGTGTATATGTGCCACATTTTCTTTATCCAGTCTATCATTGATGGGCATTTGGGTTGGTTCCAAGTCTTTGCTATTGTAAATAGGGCTGTAATAAACATATGTGTGCATGTGTCTTTATAGTAGAATGATTTAAAATCCTTTGGGTATTTACCAAGTAATGGGATTGCTGGGTCAAATGTTATTTCTATTTCTAAATCTTTGAGGAATTGCCACACTGTCTTCCACAATGGTTGAACTAATTTATGCTCCCACCAACAGTGTAAAAGCATTCCTACTTATCCATAGCCTTGCCAGGATCTGTTGTTTCTTGACTTTTTAATGATCACCAGTCTAACTGGTGAGAGATGGTATCTCTTTGTGGTTTTGATTTGCTTTTCATTAATGACCAGTAATGATGAGCTTTTTTTTCATATGTTTGTTGGCTGCATAAATGTCTTCTTTTGAGAAGTGTCTGTTCATATCCTTTGCTCACTTTTTGATGGGGTTTTTTGTTCTTGTAAATTTGTTTAAGTTCCTGATAGATTCTGGATATTAGTCCTTTGTCAGATGGATAGATTGCAAAAATTTTCTCCCATTCTGTAGGTTGCCTGTTCACTCTAATAATAGTTTCTTTGCTGTACAGAAGCTCTTTCATTTAATTAGATCCCATTTGTCAATTTTGGCTTTCATTGCGATTGGTTTTGGTGTTTTAGTTATGAAGTCTTTGCCTGTGCCTATGTACTGAATAGTATTGCCTAGGTTTTCTTCTAATGGTTTTATGGTTTTAGGTTTTACATTTAAGACTTTAATCCATCTTGAGTTAATTTTTGTATAAGATGTAAAGAAGGGATCTAGTTTCTATTTTCTGCATATGGCTAGCCAGTTTTTCCAGCACCATTTATTAAATAAGGAATCCTTCCTCCATTGCTTGTTTTTGTCAGGTTTGTCACAGATGATCAATTTGCTCTATCTGTACATGCTTCTATTCTGTGTTTAAGACTACGTTTCAGGCCAGGCTCGGTGGCTCATGCCTGTAATCCCAGCACTTTGGGAGGCCGAGGCGGATGGATCACCTGAGGTCGGGAGCTCAAGACCATCCTGGCCAACATGGTGAAACCCTGTCTCTATTAAAAAAAAAAAAAAAAAAAAAAAAGACAATATTTCATTAAATCTAAGACACATTATTTTATGTAATTCTACCAGTTTTACCATGCCATGCCATCAATTGTTAAGATACAACTGGAGTACAATCATAAGGTGAAAATGTATGTCTTTGAATTGAAGAATTATAGTACTATTATATTAAGGACTCCTGTGATAGAATATGGCTGAATTTTTTTTTTTTTTTTTTTTTTTTGAGACAGCCTCCATCACCCAGGCTGGAGTGCAGTGGCACATTCTTGGCTCACTGCAAACTCCATCTTCTGGGTTCAAGCCTCAGCCTCTCAAGTAGCTGGGACTACAGGTGCGTGCCACCACATCCAGCTAATTTTTGTATGTTTAGTAGAGACAGGGTTTCACCATATGTTGGCCAGGATGGTATCAAGCTCTTGACTTCATGACCTGCCCACCTTGGCATTCCAAAGTGCTAGGATTACAGGCATAAGCCACCACACCTGGCCATAAATATAACTTTTATGTACATTGGGACACAATTAATGTGACTTGCTTTTTTGTGATACTCACTTTTTTGTGGTGATCTGGAATTGAACCTGCAATATCTCTGAGATATATATTAAAGTAAAAGTGTAAAGGTAATTTGAAGTTAATTATAATTTGAGAATTGATATATTGAAATTATACTGTTATATGGTCTTATAGTATGCCTCATAATTATCACTATTTGAATTAAATATTCATGATCTTTTTTCCAATCCATGAGTCAATAAATATTTATTGGATGATAACTAGGTGCTAGGCATTAGTTACATAGTAGTGAAAAAAACAGTTACAGTCTCTACCCTGGTAGAACTTACAGCCTACTGAGAGAACAGACGTTAAAAAGTGAACACATGGGCCGGGCATCGTAGCTCACACCTGTAATCCCAGAACCTTGGGAAGCCCAGGCAGCAGATCACTTGAGGTCAGGAGGTCAAGACCAGCCTGACTAAATGGTGAAACCCATCTCCACTAAAAATACAAAAATTAGCCGGATGTGGTAGTGGGTGCTTATAGTCCCAACTACTTGGGAGGCTGAGGCAGAATTGCTTGAACCCGGTAGGCGGAGGTTGCAGTGAGCCGAGATTGTGCCACTGCACTCCAGCCTGGGTGACAAGAGCAAGACTCTGTCTCAAAACAAAAAGAAAAAAAACACATGGCCGGGCATTGTGGATCATACCTGTAATCCCAGCACTTTGGGAGGCCAAGGCAGGAGGATCAGTTGAGCCCAGGAGTTCAAGATCAGCTTGGGCAACATGGTGAAACCCCCGATCTATAAAAAAAAAATTTTTTTTTAATAGCTGAGTGTGGTGGTGCATACCTGTAGGCCCAGCTACTTGGGAAGCTGAGGTGGGAGGATGACTTGAGCCCAGGAGGTCAAGGCTGCAGTGAGCCATGATCATGCCACTGAACTTTAGCCTGGGCAACAGGGTGAGACCCTCTCTCAAAAAAAAAAAAAAAGACACTAATTAATATATAATACAAATTGAGATAGATGCTATGAAGAAAATAAACAGGATGTTATGAGAAAGAACAATGGAAGGGAATTACTTTGGATTTTAGGGAGACCTCTCTAAGGAAATGATATTTATTTAAGCAGATAGCTAAAGAATGAGAAGTCAAGTTAGAGGGAAACTACATATGCAGGTGTTTTCAAAATACTGAAAGAGGGCCAGGGTGGCTAAAACATAGTAAGCAGAGTAAGCATAGTAGTTGAACTCAGAGAGGAAAGTAAGAACAGACAGATCATGGTAGAAAATTGGGATTGTAATCCAAGTGCAATGAGGAACAGAGAACTAATGTGATCAATTATATTTTTTATATACCTCATCTGGAGTTGGTATGGAGAATGGGTTGGAGGGGCTTAAGAGCAGAAAGTGGGAAACCAGTTGTTGTAGTCCAGGTAGTTGATAATGAAAGATTCAACTAGGTAGAGTCAGTAGAAGTGGAGAGAAATTAGTGAATTAGAGATACACATTAGATGTAAAAACCAACAGGTTGTACTCGTGAACTAGATTTAAGAGTTGGGGGTAGGGGAAGAGAGGAGAGGGAGTAATTAAGGAAAACTCCCATGTTTCTGCCTTGAGCAACTGGGTGAATAATCATGCCATTTACCAAGATTGAGGAGAAAGAAAGAAAAAGAACTGGGAGAAAAGTCAAATTATAGATATAACTTTGAGATATCCTATAGGCTGAGCACAGTGGCTCACACCTGTAATCCCAGCACTTTTGGGAGGCCAAAGTGAAAGGATTGCTTGAAACAAGCCTGGGCAACACAGCAAGACCCTGTCTTAATTTAAAACAAAAATGGTTGGGCGCAGTGGCTCACGTCTGTAATCCCAGCGCTTTGGGAGACTGAGGTGGGCAGATCATGAGGTAAGAAGTTCAAGACCAGCCTGGCCAACTTGGCGAAATGCTGTCTCTACTAAAAATACAAAAATTAGCTGGGCATTGTGGTGTGCGTCTGTAATCCCAGCTACTTGTGAGGCTGATGCAGGAGAATTGCTTGAACCTGGGAGGTGGAGGTTGCAGTGAGCCAAGTTCGTGCACTCCAACCTAGGTGACAAGATTGTCTCAAAACAAAACAAATATATATATATATATCTGTAGGATATCTCCTTTAAAAATTATATATATATATATATATATCTTGATCCTTGAACCCAGGAGGTAGAGATTGCAGTGAGCCGAGACTGTGTACTCCAGCCTGGGTGACTGGAGACTTCTTTGAGACTCTGTCTCAAAAAACAACAACAAAACAGATATATCTGTATCTTTTTTATACAAAAAAGGAGATATCCTACAGATATATCAATAGAGAGATAAAAGAATCTGAAGCTTAGAGAAAAGTTTTAACCTAGGAATATAATTTAGGAATCATCAGCATAGAGATGGTACTCAAAGCCAAAGAATGGATGAAATTACGTGGATAGAGACTAATGAGAACTCCAGGACTGCCCTTGAAGATTCCAGTATTTATAAACGGGTTGTGGAGGAGGAACTAACAAAGGAGGCTTAGAAGCAGCAGCTAGTGTAGAAAGAAAATCAAGTGTTATGTGATTTTCTTTCTAAGAAATGAGCGTGTTTCTAGAATGCAGCAGAGTGATCAACTGAATCACATGCTACTGAGAGTTTGAGTGAGATTCAATTTGGTAACCTAAACGTTGTAGGTAGCCACGATCAGAGATATTTCAGTGGCATGAGAATGGAGATGAGGCTATGGAGACAGCACAAGCAGACAAACTATGAAGATGAGAAAAGTAGTGAAGGAAAACTGGAGGAGGATGTGTGGTTCAGGAAGGAACTTTTTTTTTTTTTTTTTAAGATAGAAGGTATTAAATCATATGATGTACAGTAAAGAATAAACTAATAATACTATAGAAAGAGAGGAAGATCAGTGTGTGAAGTGCAAAAAAGGTGAGAGGGGATACGATCCAGGGTGTATGTATTAGCCTCTGATAGATGAGTCACTTTTTCATTTTACAGATGGGAAGAAAATTGATACAGAACCAGGTAGGTTTGTAGGTTTGGCCATACACTTTACTCAATGTCATCAGTTGAAAATGAAAGGTTTGAGGAGAAAATAATGGAATATAATAGTCATTGTGGGGGCTAGAAGTGTCTGAGGGAAACAAATGCCAGGCAGGCAGGGATTGTTTAAAGGTACTGTGATTCACTTAAAGGGAAAAGAAATGCGTTGCGTGATTTTCTGCCTAGCAGCCTTCATGCCAGCACAAGGTGAATGGTTGGGTTCATGCAGAGTTGAGGTTTTGATAGGTGAGTGTGACAGAGTGGTGCTGAGGGGCAAAGGAGTTGGGGGACTGGCAAGGGAGGGACTCTTAAGCTGGTTAAGGAAGGAAGTGAATTGGAGGAAGCAGATTGGAGGTCTCTGAAGTAGACCTGAAACATTTGAGCAAGTCAGCTGGAAGCATAGGAGGTAATGTAGGGGAGTGGGTTGTGGTTTTGAAGTGAGTGGGAACTCAAGGTTTTGAAGTAAGTTTCTTGTGATATTAGTTTCCTATAACTGTGGGATGTATGGCTGAGGTGGAAGAGAAAGGTGGGAGACATCTCAAGGGAGTTAAATGGGTCATCCACATGAAAATTGCTTTATGTCAGGTATTAGGGAAGAAGGGAAGATTGTGAGCCAAGTGCTGAGAGCTGCTGGTTGGCTATAGAAGGAGAAGGATGGTAAAACCAGGTGGCACTGAGCATCAAAGGAGAAAGGATTTTACCGAAAGAGAAGCAGGGGAAAGAATGGTCTGCAAGTAACAGAGGGGCTACAAGCTAGGCTCTGACTGTGTCTTGTGACACTATGTATGTGGGATGTTTGGGAAAAAATAGCTTCATTTTGGAGAGGCACAAGGAAAGCAGTGTTAAGGGACAGTAAGCTTTCAGAGAAGGTTAGGTAGGAAAGGGAGCAGTCAGAAGTCTGAGGCTCTTCTTAAGAGGCTCTAGGAAGGTGGTCACTGTTTGGCTAGCAACTGTACACTCGGCCTGTCATATTTAAGTATTTGTTCAATGAATTAATGAATAAAAGAGAAGAGCTTAACTCCTCATGGTCAATTTTTAAATTGAAGTAAAATATACATAAAATCTACTTATTTTAACCATTTTAAAATGTTCAGTTCTGTAGTGTTAAGTACATTCACATTCAGTATTGTGCAACTGTCACCACTGTTCATCTCCAGAACTTTTTCATCTTCCAAACTGAAACTGCTTACCCATTAGACATTAACTCCTCATTTCCTCCTCTACTCCCCCTGACAACCATAACTCTACTGCCTCTATGAATTTGACTATTCTAGGTACCTCATATAAGTGGAATCATACATTTGTCTTTTCATGACTGGCTTATTTGACTTAGCGTAATGTTCTCAAGGTTTCCGTATTATGCATGTATTAGAATTTCCTTCCTTTTTAAGGCTGAATAATATCCTATTGTATGTAAATACAGTGTTTTGCTTATCCATTCACCTGTCAACACATATTTCTGTTGCTTCCATCTTTGACTATTGTGAATTACACTGCTATGAACATGGGTGTGCTAATATTCTCCTTGAGACCCTGCTTTCAGTTCTTTTGGGTATATACCCAGAAGTGAAATTGCTATATCGTACAGTAATTGTTTACTCTTTTTGATGAACTGCCATCCTGTTTTCCACAGTGGGTGTACCATCCTATTCCCAACAGTGCACAAAGGTTCCAATTTCTCCACATCCTCTCCAACACTCGTCCTTGTCTGTTTTTTATTTTTATTTTTATTATTTTTTGAGACAGAGTCTCACTCTGTCGCCCAGGCTGGAGTGCAGTGGTGCCATCTCTGCTCACCGCAACCTCTCCTTTCCAGGTTCAAGCAATTCTCCTGCCTCAGTCTCCTGAGTAGCTGAGATTACAGGCACGAGTCACCACCCTGGCTAATTTTTTGTATTTTTTAGTAGAGACAGGGTTTTATCATATTGGTTAGGCTGGTCTCGAACTCCTGACCTTGTGATCTGCCCACCTTGGCCTCCCAAAGTGCTGGGATTATAGGCGTGGGCCACCATGCCCAGCCTGTTATTTTTATAATAAATCCTTCTGGGTGTGAGGTGGTATCTCACTATAGTTTTGTGTTTTCCTAGTATTTAGGGATGTTGAGCATCTTTCTCATATGCTTATTGGTAATTTGTTTTACTTTAGAGAAATGTCTACTTTAGTCCTCTGCTCATTTTTTTTGATGATTGTTTTCTTATTGTGGATTTACAGACCCCTTTATCAGAGATATGATTTGCAAGTATTGCTCCCATTCCATGGGTTGCCTTTTTCACTGTTGATTGTATTGTTTTATGCAGTTTTAAATTTTGATGTGGTCCCATTTATCTATATTTTCTTTTGGTGCCTGTACTTTTGACGTCACTTTCCATCAAATACAGGTTTCATCAATGAAATCATTGCCAAATCTAAAGTGAGTCTGTCCTTTCCCCATTAAATGGTCTTAAAACCCTTCCATAGATTAATGTCTGCCTTTATGTGAATGGTTTTAACAACTGAGAAATGTATTACAATGTCTCTGATCATCCATTTAAGCTTTATCAAATAAAGATTAGTGCTTCCCTACCTTCCAGTACCTTTTCTCCCTACTCCTGTCACCTCCTCACATCACTCTTCTGCTTCAAAACTATAATGACTATTTCAGTAGAAGACTAATTTCTATAGTTCCAAACTTTAAAATATAAACATCAACATGCTTCTTCCATTGGCCCTGATACCAATGTTTGTGCATTAACGGAACCTGCTTTCTGGGTTTCAGAAAACAAGGGTCAGATTTCAATAATGATTATTGAAATACTCTACTGAACAGGTCATAACTTAATTTTTCAACTTTTATTTTTCACAGTCACATGGGCTCAGACTTAATTTTTAAGATTCTAGTAAAGTATTTTGGTTGAAAATGTGATTTCATATTTGTCATTTTAAGGAGTATTTGCCATTTACACTCTATTATCTTCTTCATTTAGGGGCCACTGTATTTTGTGTTGCTCCGAATGCAGTATTTCCATTTGAACTGTATAATGAAGAATACTTAGAGCAAAGGGATCTCTATCTGACTCAGTGCCAACAACAGCTGGAACAGTTTATTGCCACATATGGACCTGGGACAACTATTTTCTCTAGTGATGAATAAGCAATTTGAGGAATTTTTGTTCATTCCTACCTAAGCAGTGGAGAAAAAGTGTGAGTATTTTGAGAGTGACTTTGAATACATGCTTCCATAATACCGTGTACAGGAATATATTACAATACTATTTTAAAAAATGCAAAATATAGTCCCCTCAAAATTGCTAGGAGGATAAATACTAATCCAAACCTCTAAAACCAACAGAATTTTAAAACATAGAACAATGTGGGCAATTTGAAATGATAAAGTTGTCAAGGAGAATGCTATAAAGAAAAACCGTATGGTTAGCCCAGAATACCAGTGGTGAACAGATAAAAATGTAAAGAATGTTGCAATCTAAGCAATATGAAAAATGGCAACCTTTATGTTAGTTCACTCTAATGTCACAAGATGGCAATAACTCTTTACCTACAAATGATTCTAAAACATTTTTCTTCCACTTGTGAACTTGCTAAACTGACGAGTAAATACTTTAAACGTGAGCTTTAAATGTAAAGCCTTTTTACACTTTATTATTGACATGTCCATTACATACCACTGTTTTAGAAGCCCTAAATATGGAGTCAGGAAAAGCCTTGGAAATATTCTTTAGGTATATGCCAGGTTAAATGAAAAAATACAGGGAACCAAGGAGCCAATAACTTATAAAAAATTGGCTCTTTAATCCTAACTGGTTACAAGAAAGGTTCCAAAAGGCAAATAAACCAATTTGCAAATCTAGTCCTCATTTTTGGAGAGAAGATACCTGCTTTGAAAAGATAGTTGCATTGGCCCGGCAAGGTAGCTCCTGCCTGTAATCCCAACACCTTGGGAGGCTGAGGTGGGCCGATCATGAGGTCGAGATCGAGACCATCCTGGCCAACATGGTGAAACCCCGTCTCTACTAAAAATACAAAAATTAGCTGGGCGTGGTGGTGCATGCCTATAGTCCCAGCTATTCAGGTGCCTGAGGCAGGAGAATCACTTTAACACAGAAGGCAGAGGTTGCAGTGAGCTGAGATTGTGCCACTGCACTCCAGGCTGGCAAGAGGGAGACTTCGTCTCAAAAAAAAAAAAAAAAAAGATAGGGGCCATGAAAAAACAAACCTATTTTGTAAAATTTATAAATCCTTTCGTTCAGTTTTCATAACTTTAATAAAAGATCAGTTCTATTCACAGAAAAGCAGAATGTCATTACCAAATTGCCACTTTGTTAACCAAGATGCTACCATGCATCAATTCTTTCAAAATTGGTCCCTTCATAAGGCTGCTTAACTATGCAGCTGGACCTCTCCCACTCTCCAGAGGAAGTTGTTCACTACTACTGAATACCTAACTAGTAGCAGGGACTAAACAGTATTAGTCTTCAGAAGACAAAGGTAGTGTTTTTGGTTTTTGATAGGGTCTCACGTTGCCCAGGCTGGAGTACAGTAGGGCAATCTCCATTCACTGCAACCTCCACCTTCCAGGTTCAAGCAAATCTCCTGCCTCAGTCTCTCAAGTAGCTGGGATTACAGGTGCGATCCACCACAACCAGCTAATTTTTTGTATTTTTAGTAGAGATGGGGTTTCCCCATGTTGGCCAAGCTGGTCTCAAACTCCCGACCTCAGATGATCTGCCTGCCTCAGCCTCCCTAAGTGCTGGGATTACAGGTGTGAGCCAACGCACTCAGCAACAAAGGTAGTTTTCAACAAAATATTTACATATTACAGTTCTATAAGGTTAAGACCTTTGTGTCTCAAATACTACAGTTCAAACATTTCTGGCTGTGTATGGGGTGAAGTCAAAACACATTCCTATTTTATAAAATTAGGATCCTTTTAAATTTGAAAGTTTAAAAACATTTTTTTTGAGACAGGGGCTGTCACCCAGTCTGGAGTGCAGTGGCACCATCTCAGCTTCCTACAGCCTCGACCTTGCAGTCTCAAGCAATTCTTCCACCTTAGCCTTCCAAGTAGCTCAGACTACAGACCCATGCCACCACCCTGGACTACTTTTTACATTTTTTGTAGAGGTGGGGTTTTGCCATGTTTCCCAGGCTGGTCTCAACTTATCCTCCCATCTCAGTACCTCAGTTTCCCAAAGCATTGGGATTACAGGGGTGAGCCACCATGCATGGCACAAAAATGACTTTTATTCACTTATCTTTATTTATATAGCTGTCACTCAAGCTGGAGTGTACTGATGCAATCACAGCTCACTGCCACCTTAGTCTCCCCAGCTCAAAGGACCCTCCCAACCTCAGTCTCAAAGAGGGCCACTTCCATACAAAAAATTAAATGTTTACATTTCTCATTACAGGGGTTGCATTTACTAAATCTTTATTTCAGTATCTAAAAAGTATAAGCGTACATTCAGAAAGATAAAACAATTATGGGAGGTAATACATTAATATTAAATATGATGCCAATGGTGTTTTAAAAGTTATTGGATAATTAGAAGGGAGTGGGGTGAAAAATTACTTAATGGGTACAAACTACACCATTCAGGTAATGGCTGCACAAAAATCTGACTCCAAACTACTTCACATACCCATGCAACCAAACTATACTTATACCCCACAAGTCTATACTTGAGGGAATTGACTAAGATGTTGCTATATAGGTTTTACATCATTTATCACATGCAAATTATAACCTTGGTAAAAGTAATTTATAAGCTAGTACTCAACAGAAGATTTAGCTGTAAGCCTTCACTCACCTAGATATAAATTCAGCTTTAGAATTCTTACCAATTTAGTCCTGGACAGACTGGCCTGTTCAGTCTTATTTCTCATAACATAGCATATTGCTTAGTTATTACATGTACTAGGATGACTTTTTGTTCACAAAGATGAAAAGCAAACAATAAAGGTGAACGATTGCTATTTGGCATTAAGAAGTTTTAAGAATCCAACCACCTGGCACAACAGCAGGCTCTGAAGGGGTGGCTAAACAGGGAACCTAGAGGTACAAGCAATGTCTCCCCACCTGTTCGCCTCAGTGAGAATCACCACCCACAAATAAGCCAATTACTGACAAGATTGTATTCTTTCAAGTATGTTAAAAACAGGTCTGACTATGAGAATGGAGCTCTTTAGAGCTGATTTAAAAGAAAACAATTTATTGTTCAGCAATTTAAACAATTAGCCAAACACATATTTTCTCCATAATTTATTGTGATGTTTATCAACATCAAATAAAATACTCATTTCATCATTACTTCTGTTCATGTTTTCTTGACAGTCTTCAATTTTCTTTCCAAAATGTTGCATGCCACACCTCCAAAACAAAATCAGAAACCAACAGTGAAAATCATTCCATACTCAAAGTTCTCATATAACCTCAATATTAACAAGTGCCCCTCAAAAAATTAATGTTGAGAATATATACATGCAAAGGCAACTTCAACAAGAATCAGCCCCGACCCTTTGGAGTTTATCATATCAGATACTTTCTGAACTATCAGCAAATACAGCTGCTTGACAAATCACACTTACTTGAGGCAATGAGGCAGAAGTATTTTTAAACTTTTTAAACACGACAGCGAAGAACATTCATCTACAGCAACCTATATGCTAAAGAAAAAGAATATTCATTCACCCTTCTTAATTAAATATTGCCTTACATACATGTCAGTAATTAATCAATGAAGATTACTGGCATCTCAGTCTTAAAAGTATTTCTTCAAAGACACCCTCAGCTGGGTAAACGGCAAAAAATAATTTAAGTCATCATTGTGCCAGCTATTAATCCTATCTGTCAAGAATACATAACATTAATTTTAGGTACCTCAATACATGCTGTGTGATCCTAGTAGTTATTCCACAGACTTCTACAAGTTTTTGGAAAACATCTGTCATGATGACCTTCATACATCTTCAACTCAAAGGCTTTCTTGCACCTGGAAATTAAATATTACATTTTGAATTCCCATTTTTATTTGCATTTGTTTGGCATCTTATATGTACAAATGGTCCAGGGAGAGAATCTCATTAGGTACTTGCAACCTACCTTTCAGACTCCTAACCCATTTTTTAACAAAAAAGTGCCGGCTGGGTGTGGTGGCTCACGCCTATAATCCCAGCACCTGGGGAGGCCGAGGAAGAAGAACTGCTTGAACCTGGGAGGCAGACACAATTGTCCTAGTGAATACACAGCCACTGCTTTTCTGTCTCACAGCTTGACCAGGATGAGCTATAAGCCAGGTTAGATGTATAAAAACTGGCATAAAGACTTTCACCTAAAAAGATTATATTGGCGAATCTAGCAGTTTTTAGAGCAGAGATACTTATGTTGGCATTTTTACTGGACACATTCCTGTAAAATTTAGTCCCAAGTTAACCGAAAACTGCAAAGGGCATGGCCTGGGCAAAAAAAAATCATACAGCACCCCAGGAGAATAACTAATTGCCAGACAGCAATAGGAAATGACTTGGAACTAGACAACTACATGGACAATTCTATCTTTACAAAGCTTAAAAAATGGGCGGGGCCCGGCAGCTCACGCCTTTTAATACTACGCGGGTGGATCACCCGAGGCCAGGAGTTCCGAGACCAGCCCGGCCAATATGGCAAAACCCTGTCTCTACTAAAAATACAAAAAATTAGCCGGGCATGGTGGCACATGCCTGTAATCCCAGCTACTCAGAAGGCTGAGGCAGGAGAATCGCTTGAACCTAGGAGGTGAGATTGCGCCACTGCACTACAGCCTACACGATGGGAGCGAGAGTCCATCTCAAAAAAAAAAAAAAAAAAAAAAAACCCACAAAGCTTAAAAGATATTTATAGAGATGCATATACATAATGAAACTGCTATCCCACCGCCTCCTCCCGGAAGCGAAAAGACTGGCACAAAATTCCAGATGGTGGGTACCTCTGAATAGGAGGCAGGGGAATGTAAATAAGATACCCTAGTATTGGTAATATTATAGTTCTCAAATGGATCGGTGGATTCTTTTGTGTTGATTATGCTTCAGAACTTCCCTGTACTACAAATTTTATTAAATATTTACTTTGGAAATTTTTAGCACTTACCAGTGAAAACAGAATTGAAGCTACTGAAGCCTCAAAAATAAGAATACCAAAAATATTTTAAGTAAAAGCCATGACATTCATCCTCTTGACAGTTAACGATTATTTCAAGACGACGCAATGCATTTCAAATTTGAAGGGAATAAATAAAAACAACTATACCAAGTCTCACTGATGAGCTATGCAATTTTAAAATTTGTTTCTGTGCCCGGTAGCGGTGGCTCATGCCTGTAATTTCAGCACTTTGAGAGGCAGAGGCGGGTGGATCATGAGGTCAGTTCAAGACCAGCTTGGCCAAGATGGTGAAACCCCGTCTCCACTAGAAATACAAAAATTTGCTGAGGGTAGTGGCGGGCACCTGTAATCCCAGCTACTCGGGAGGCTTAACCATAGAATTGCTTGAACCCGGGAGGCGGATGTTTCAGTGAGAGGAGATCGCACCACTGCACTCCAGCCTGGGTGACAGAATGAGACTGTCTCAAAAAAAAAAAAAAAAAAAGAAAGAAAGAAAGAAAAAATTGTTTCTGAATAGCTAACAGGTTTTTCCAGCCCCCCAGCTGCTGACCCGGTTTCTTCTGTATTATGTCCAGAAATACACGTCTCTATGTAAATGCAACCATCTCTGTATGTAGCAGGCATTTAGCCTAAGGGCCTTCTATACTTTCACGTGTTGCTCTCCAACCTCCAAGCCTTGACTTTAGAGCGTATTACAAACACCGACTAGCTCTATGAATGGGCCGTGACTAGTACTGACTCTGTAAACGGTGCTTACTAAAATTTCAAAGCCACTCACAAAGTACGGTTAAATAAGGGTCATCCTGACATCTAAGGGATAGTCACCTCCCCATTTATAAAATGCTCCCTTTTAAGGAAAATAAGCTGCCTAAGAGCCTGAAACCGCCAAGGCCGCACGCACAGCTTTGCTGGGTACACAAGAGAGAGCTGGCCAAGGCCGGGTGGAGCACAAAGCCCCCGGCGGTCCCTTGCAGGGGCCTCCTTAAGTCAGGAGGCCCTTGACCAGTTTCTGAGCAGAGGACAGTGAAGCGGTGATGACGGAACAAGGTCAGGTAAGCCTCTCAGGGTGGTTACTCTCAAAACGCGACTGCGCAGATGGCTCAGGGAGTAAGCTCGTGGACCTTGGGGGCGCCGGGAGTGAAGCCTTTTGGCCTACGCAGCCGCCGCCCACTCCGCTGGCGCCTGGGGAAGGCACAGGGGCCGCGCTCGGCACCCACACGCCGGAGGAACCCGGGTAGCAGATAGGGAACTAAGACCGCAATCACTCTCACCTCGCAGAGCCCAGCAACTGGCCCTCAGGCTCCGCCGCCGCCACATCAGCATGATCGACGGCTCTTTGCACTTCTTACTTCCTCGCCGGCCGCGCAGGAAAGGAAGCGCAACATTCGAGGGCCCGTTTAGGCACTCCTGTGGCCCCGCCTTTTCCGGTATGCGGCCCCGCCCCTCCCCGGGTGCGTAGCGGGGTGAGTGCAGGGGCTTGCGGGGGCGGTTAGACCTGCATGTTCGCTCTCTTCCTTGATAGCGCTGTGCGGCGCCGCCCTGTGCCACACAAGTTTATGTTGGGGAGTTTGTGACTTCCGCAGGGGCTTTTCAGGCTCAGGAGTATGTCTGCTAGGGTTAATCAATGATTAATCTACCAGTTTGCAGTGAATGCAAAAGAGCAGAATATGCCCTAAAAGGCAGGGCGCGGTGGCTCACGCCTGTAATCCCAACACTTTGGAGGCCGTGGCGGGCAACTCACCTGGGGTTACGAGTTCGAGACCAGCCTGGCCAACCTTGTAGTCCCAACTACTCGGGAGGCTGAGGCGGGAGAAATCACTTGAACCCAGGCAGCGGAGGTTGCAGTGAGCCGAGATCGCACCACCGCACTGCAGCCTGGGCAAGACTCGTCTCAAACGAACAACGACAACAAACACACGCGTATATATAGC